TGGCTCAGAATACTCCAGTCCTGCCTGGCACCCTAAGTTCAAAACAGCACATTTTGGATATTAAAATCAGTGCAGGAAATAATGTTGTATAAAACAGTATTTCCAGCTCCACACATCTGCTATCAAAGGACAGCAGATCACAGAGACCGTATCTTTGCTCTACTTCTGAAGGTCAGCCCTCCCAGTAACCAGTAAGAAGTTTTAAAAAGGCGGGGGGAGGGTAGTGGTTTGCTTAGAAAATGCCACTGCAGAGTCAAGAAGATCCCATGAGACGCTCAGAGGGGAGCCGACCATTACTCTCAATTTTACGATGGTCTTTGGAAGAGCCTTAGGCTTTATGATCTGCGCCCTTCGCCATCCCATCCTTTGGCAATTACCTGATAGAAATTGAGCCAAAATGAAAAAGGCAAAGACAAAAGAAGACATCTTTCTGCTTAGGGTCATCTCTGAGGGATGGCTCTTCAGAGCAGAGGTTTGGGGACTCTCTGAGAAGACAGGAGGCTCACTTATATTTGTAAGTAATGGGGAATGCTCTTGGTCAGTGAAGTGAATCAATAAAGAAAGCACATTTATATGCTCCATTTCCCAGGATCAAGGACAGATATGATGGACAATAACCCTTGGTCTCCATAAAGCCTTGTATTCTGGGAGCTCCGGCCAGGATAGTGCAAGGAACTCGAGGTCAGGGGCTGGAAAACCAGGAGCCACCCCAATCCTCCTGACCCAGCAAGTAGGAGCCTGCTACTCCCTTTCTCTCTCAGAATTTACCCTTCTCTTCCATTGAATAAGGAGCCACTACAGTTGCTGAGAGACAACAAGTTTTTCAGCCAGCCTCTCAGGATTGGTGTCAAGCTCTGGTGATTATGGGGATGTGTTTGGAACACAAGGAAGGCTTGCAAGGAGGCCTGGTGCCCTCTAAGAGCCCAAGAAGCAGGCTCTGTTCCTTCCCTGGCTCTTATTTGTACTACATGTCAATGTCCCCAGGAGCAAGGGGGTGGGTGTCATTTCGCCAAGTGAGCTCTGAATCCCTGATCCTGTAACAATGTCAGCTAGCAGCCCGAAAGCATAATTAACTATATCCTTTTCACTCATCAAGAACATGGGCATCAAAATCAACACTTATATCACCAAATAAGTCCTGTCCTATTGCTTGTGCTTACGGAAGGCTCTGTTCTTCACTTTGGGAAGGCGATAGGAGCACTGAACCAGGCAGACTATGGTCAGGTCGGTTTAGCAAGTACGTGACCTGGGCAGGTTGCTTACTTGGTTAAACCTGTTTCTAAGTCTTAATATGGGGATGTAATAAAGATACGTACTTCATAGGATATTTAAGGACTCACTGAACTGAACATCAAGGGGCTATCAGATCCTAGGCTTGGACTGATTACAGATGTACCTAGCAATGGGATGGAGGTGTCTCAGGGATAACAGTGCCATGATGTAGGCAGGGAATCTTGGCAGGAGGAGGCCTCTCCCCAGCCCCCAATTCAATACCAATTGCCTCCCGGCACAGACACTGAGATATCCTTGGAGAGCTGGTCACCATGGCTGACCATGGGTGGGAGTGGCAGACTCATGGAGGAAACACACCTGGCTTGACTCTCTCTTCAGTGAGGCTTGGTGGTCCTGCGGCAGGTGGCTTGGGAGGGCAACCCAGCAGACGCTGGACCATACAGAGATATGCAGTGTCAATGAGCAGATCCCCGGGCATCTGTGAGGGTCTGTAAGTGTCCTGCAAGTACCCTTGTGCCTGAGGAATTGTGATATTACATAGCAAAGAAAAATATCTATGACAATAAAGAAGATGTGGTGTATATATATACAATGGAATACTATACAGCCATCAAAAGAAATGAAATCTTGCCATTTGCGATGACATGGATAGAACTAGAGGGTATTATGCTTAGTGAAATAAGTCAATCAGAGAAAGACAACTCTCATATGATCTCCCTGATATGAGGAAGTGGAGATGCAACTTGGGTGGTTTGGGGGGTAGGAAAAGAATAAATGAAACAAGATGGTATCAGGAGGGAGACAAACCGTAAGAGACTCCTAATCTTACAAAACAAACTGAGGGTTGCTGGGGGGAGGAGGGTCGGGAGAGGGTGGTGGGGTTATGGACATTGGGGAGGGTATGTGCTATGAGAAAGGTGGTACTATGGTGAGTGCTGTGAAGTGTGTAAATCTGGCGATTCACAGACCTATACCCCTGGGGCTAATAATATATGTTCACAAAAAAAATTAAAAAATTATAAAAAGAAAAAGAAAATAATAAGAGAAAAAAAATCTATGACAGAGGAACTTGGTGCCTTTAATGGCACCTTTTTCCTGTTTCCTGAACATGGGCACTTGTATTTTCATTATGTGCTTGGGCCAGCATGTTATGTAGCTGGTCCCAACCTGGAGTGAATGTCTAAATAAGAAGACTCTTGCAGCTCTCAAATTAAAGAGTTGGTCCTTGTCATAGGGATCTCAAGACCTCTTTGCTACATCAGTGGGCCAATGAGGTGGTCCCTCTGTATAGTGGTCCCTATGGTGCTCACTTCTACAGCTCAAAGCATCCTGCTCCAAGCTCAAATTCTTCCATATCTGAGTGCTTCAAGTATGGTGCAACTAAACATTTGTTTAGCCATTTAAAGCCTACCTGCTTTGTGTGCCCCCCCCAAAGTGCCCCCAACACCTGCTAACATAGACAAGACAAAGCCCATAGCATTGGACTCCAAATTGCCAATGCCCTCCTGAGAGCTGTGATCCCAAGACTCCCCACCTTGCTGCTGAGACATATCATCTAGACACGTGAGCCTTTCTCTAGTGCCCCTCTCCTCTAGGAGTTCCCTTCCCCTTTCAGGGGATGCATCATGCTGCCATCTCTGGCAGGGCGTTCCCCCATGCAACCCTGTCCAGGTGCCACCTGATGCCACCTCTCTTCCTTGAGCAGCCCCCACACCCTGGAACTCATCACACTCCAGACCTTAGAATTCAGCCACTCCGAGATGTCTGTCCTCTCCACGGTGAGGTGTGAATAGGCTGGCTCTTAGCCCTTAGGAGAGGGGGTTGACTCTTTGGAGTGCTCAGACAAGATTACATATGCCATGGCTGAACAGCTGTGTCCTCCTGACATTCATGTGGAAACCTTATCCCCACAGTGATGGGATTTGGAGGTGAGCCTTTGGAATGTGATTAGGTTAAGAGACCTCATGAATGGGATTATTGCCTAATCAAAGGAATGCCAGAGAGCTCCCTGTCCCCATCCTCAGAGGAAGGACACAGGGAGAAGTCATCTGTAGCTCAGAAGAGGGCCCTCACCAGCACCTGGTCATGTTGGTGCTCAGTCTTATATCTCCAGCCTCCAGAACTATGGGAAATGAATATTTGTTGTTTATAAACCACTGCATCTGTGGTATTTTGTGATGGCAGCTCAAAGGTACTGAGACATCATCTGAGTTTAGAGGAGAAGCCATGTGAAATCCTACCACCACATGGAGTTCTCGTCACCTTAGTAACGTTCAATTGTGCCAAAGGGTCCAACTATGATTCCCTTAAGTTTGCAACCTTCACTTCCTGATGAAACAGACTAGCCTTAAGAAGCAGAGATAAATGACATAATGGGGTAATAAAGAAGACCGATGAGGCTGTGGGTGCCACTTTAAGATGTTTGGAAGTTTGTCTTTTCTTATGGATTTAAATCATTTTAATTGAAAAAATAATTTTAACTGTGGATTGGAAGGGAATAGAGAAAAGTTAAAAATATGTCCCTTTTCTCAGAGTTATTTATGTATTCGATCATTTGTTGATATCAGTGTGGCACAAGGAAATAAATGGATGGTCTTGTCCAGATCTCATACAAAAACCATGTTTTCAATAACACAACAAGCATCTATTGCTTTTTGAGAGTTTATGATTATTTTAACAAATGCTTCTAAGGTATTTCAACTTTTAGTAGCAATAATAACGCGGAGTGATCATGAGGGAGGCTCGTCTCCCCAGTGTTGCATTAAAGAGAGGTATTCCACCAGAAGGAAGAATTAAAGTGGATAATTCAGGACGTTCTCTCCACCCACTTAGTTGATTTACTGCAGATTAGGAAAAAAAATAAAATTAGTGGGAGTCTGTGACATTCAGAGTATATAGCTATTTGATATATATATATATATGTATATATATATATATATACACACACACATATATAGTCATAATCAAATATCACATAAGCTCAGAACTGTCTGGGGAGCTGTTTGAGGATAAAATAAAATAATGTGTGAAACACTAAGTGTGTAGCACTTATTTTTAAGATTTATTTATTTATCTGAGAGAGAATGAGGGAGAGAGAGATGGAGGGTAGAGGGAGAGGAAAGAGAAAGAATCACAAGCAAGCTCCCCACTGAGTGCAGGGCCTGACACAGGGCTGGATCCCGGGACCCTGAGATCATGGCCTGAGCCAAAATCAAGGACCACTCAACCAGCTGAGCCACCCAGGCGCCCCTGTGTATCAATTAAAAAATAATAATAATAAAAACACAACCTTCAGTAGAACAACTTGCCAAATGTACACAGCTCCTGCATATCAGAGCTGGAATTCAGACCCCACTGACTGCGTTATGATGTTATATACTTACTCTCCTTTTACATATGAGTGAACTGAAGCTATGAAGGAGCATAGGCAGGACTAGAAACCCAAACTGCCAGGTTCCAGACCTTTTGTTCCCGCTGGTGCCTCTATCTATCTGTCCTTGGTCACCAATGCACCCTCTGCTCTGTTTTTGTTTCTTCCCCATTGTCCTTCTTGGGAACTTTCCAGAATCAGAAAAACAATGAGCTGCAGACTGCCACCCACTGAGATGTGTGGGCTCTCATCGGGAGCATGGACAGGCCCTCGTTTCTGACATGCCTCGGCGATCAAGATGTTCTTTGGTTTAGAGAAAAGTATAAATGTGGGTGTTTTGCTGTTTTTTAAATTTTTATCATGGACACTGTGCTGATCTTTCAAGATCCTGCGAGTCATGAGGACATTCCTCTTTGTCTTTGCTCTTCTCTTCCTTCTGGCCCCAGGTAAAATCAATGTCTTTGCAGGAAAGGTTATAGAGGTGGTGGCCTAGAGACAGGGTCTGCTTCACTGAGCACCTGGGTGTGCTCTGCCCGGTGAACCTGACGGGGAACATTTGCTACAGGAGGTGCTACCCCCTAACGCCTTTTCTGTAAATCCCTTTCGTTTTTCATTATTGTCTAGGATGGGCTATCACAGGGTTGAAGAAAGAAAGATATGCCAGGAAAGATGCCCTTTGGTTCCCAGGGCCATGCTCATTAACAAAAACAAAAATTGGGGGAAAAAATATAAAAACAAGCGTAGGCATCAGTAGATTTAAAAAAAAATAATTGTGGGGTACCTGGGTGGCTCAGTGGGTTAAAGCCTCTGCTTTCGGCTCAGGTCATGATCCCAGGGTCCTGGGATCAAGCCCCGCATAGGGCTCTCTGCTCAGCAGGGAGCCTGCTTCCACCTCTCTCTCTCTCTGCCTGCCTCTCTGCCTACTTGTGATCTCTGTCAAATAAATAAATAAAATCTTAAAAAAAAAATTGTGATAGAGATGGGACAGGTAAGGAAAAGAGCCAGAAAAAGGAGTACTGGACAAGGAAAGGGATGGAGGTTAGACACTGTAGTTGTGCCAGTCATGGCACAGGTCAAACAGTACCCTGAAATTGTCACTCCTTCACCACACTCCATGAGACTGGGTCCTGTGAAAAATGCCTCAGACCAAAGTGCAAGGAGTTTTCCAATGCCAAATCTTTTAAGGAAACTCTGTCCTACTTTTTTTTTTTTTTAAGTAGGCCAATGTTGGGCTTGAACTCAGGACCCTGAGATCCAGACCTGAGGTGAGGTCAAGAGTCAATTGCTTGACTGACTGAACCACTAGGCACCCCAGCTGTGCCCTCCTTCTAATGTAGTGATGTTCAGAGCAACTCTTTCAGCCTGGAAGGCCTGTTTTACATATATTTTTCAGATACAGACATTGGGCCTCAGCTGGGCGAGGCAGCCTCAAGGAGTCCTACAGATAAGCAGGAATGAAGTCAGGACCGGAGAGTCCATATCCGGTCTCTCATCACACTCTTCTGCTCCTGGGAGCCATCAATGGCTCCTGTCAGATTAAAGTCCAAGACCAGACTCATCCCAGTTTCCAGAGAGCTGAAGAAAGGGCTTTTTAGAACCTACAATGAGTCCAAGTTGGTGCCAGATGCCATTGATGTCCCCTTAGGAGGCTCGGAATTCTCACACCTGCTGTATATGTGGCTGGTAATATTTTGCAGTAAGACTGTGTGAGTAGATTCTGTGCCAGATATACAGGGATCCAAGACTTACGGTGATCTGTTCACTCCACTGGCCTCGAGGTACACATTGGAAAGTGACCAAGACCCCCTTTTCAGACCAGTCAGACTTATTATATACTTAGTTGACACAATATGTGGACATGTAATATGAAATTATCTAATAAAATCAAATGGAGCTGACCTCTTACTATGCCAAATGCACACACACAGAGTTCCATTGACCTCTAGATGGGTGCGTGTGAGATCCATTCGAAGGCTTGTACACACAGGTGCTCCCTCCCTTCGCGGAGGCTTTCTGGTTTTGGACCATTGCTGTCAATTGAGTGTAGTACAAGAGTGAGGTCCAGCACCTCCAGCCTGGGATGACCTTACAACACTAGGAGGGCAGTTAGAGGCCCCTGTAGTGGGAGACACAGTTCCCCGAGCTTTGAAAGATTGGAGTACGTGTACTTACGAATTCAGTGCTGATGCTGGAAATGATTAAGCACATGCTGGTACCATTCCACCCGGGTTTAGTTTTACACATACATGGATCAGCCACCTCTGTGTGTTGACCTCAGTTTCAATTTGTGGACATCTGACGCTATCCTTACATATCATCATGCATGTATGTATGTACATACCTTAGGTTAAACTCTAAAGTATTATTTCTGATAGGATGTGCGTCTCTCCTTCATCTGAAGTGGGCTTGTCTTATGATTGCTGCTGTTAGAGAGCTACGGCAGAGCCGGTATTCTGTGCAGGATAGACACGAGGAGTCTTAGAGAGCCACTCCCAGCATCCGCCCTTGCCTGCTCTTGAACACATTTTGCAAAATGTGGAAAAGAAATTTCTAAGCAATATTTTTCCTGCCACCCACAACAGTAAATGTTTCCCTTTCTGTATATTTATCCTTGTTTACTCCGGTCTTGTACCATCTCCCCAGCCTCAGACCTGCCCTGCTCTCACCAGGGAGCACTTTGACAGTGAGCTGGGGAGTTACTCACCCTAGAGGGTTTACAGGAACAAGGTGATCATGACCCCAGTAGTTTCTGGTAAAAGGACAAAAGCTTCTGCTTCTCAAAGCCCCCATACAGCCTAACCCCAAATGCCAGAACACGAATCTGTTCTTCCTAGTCTTTAATCCACCTATGGCAAAAAAAAAAAACAAAAAACAAAAAAAACCCCAGAAAAATCAAAAAAGAGAAAATAGCTCCCTACCATCTCATCTACTGGCAATGGGAGACACTATGTCAGCTTGTAAAGAAGTCTTTACTAACTGGTTATGTGACCATACCTGGTAACTGGACATACCTGAGAAGAGAATTAATCCGGGTGGCTCTTTCCTTTGTATAGCCAGGAATGCATTTTTTGATGAGAAATGCTTCAAGTTTAATGGGAGATGTGTGAATTCTTGTCTGAAAAATGAAGAACTTGTCGCTCTCTGCCAGAAGTCTCTGAAATGCTGCTTGACACGCCAGCCATGCTTGAAGAGTAAAGATGATTGAACCTGAAGACTCTGGCTTTCCAGAGCCACAAAAATGACCTAGTTTTGTCTTCTCTTCAGTGAGGAGACATCTCAATAAAAATAAATGACTATCTTCTAACAATCTATCAATTGTTTCACTTAGAACAGCTAACTGTGAATAGCTAACCTTGGTAGCCTGCCTACTGGCTTCTTTTCCTATAATTCTTTGGTAAGGGGATTTTCCCCAAACCATCTGATATTTCTTTTTAAAGGGGACTGGTAAAAACTCTAAGTCAACAAACCTCTAGCTTGCCCTAAGGTGTCAGCCCCCACCACCTGTTGAGATAGATGATAGATAAGTGGATGGTAGAGAAAGGGACATATATTTGTATGGGTAATTATATTAATGACAGATAGATAGCAGATAGATTTACTTATTAAGGACTCTCATATGTCATACACACATCTAAATTAATGGTCTTGACCCCATGGCTTTAATTGGAGACAGTTAAATACTCCTTATAGACTCGTCCCCTATCCGTAAGTCTGGAATCAAATTTACTGATGGGCAGAGGACTGTAGGTAGCTATAGTAGTTCTGATGACCTGGGTCCTGGTCATTGACTGTCTATGATTTGTCAAATTACTCCCTGACTCTAAGTATTCATATTACCTGCTTCAATTAAGGATTCCTGGTCATGCTCCCAAGGCCTAAGATCCAGCCCTGGTTCCCTGCTGGATCAGAAATCTTGCCTTATTTCCCTCTTGATTATTCAAGGTCAATGTATTTAATCCTGTTGGAATCAACAATCTTTTTTTAAAAATTTTTATTGTGTTATGTTAATCACCATACAGTATGTCATTAGTTTTCAATGTAGTCTTCCAAGATTCATTGTTAACAATCCTTTTAAATGACACTTTTCTGTTTTGAGGTATTTATAGAGTCATGTACCGTTGTAAAACATAATATAGATACATCTCTACCTTTTAATGCAGTTTTCCCAATAGCACAACCAGAGAATAATATGACCACCAAATACTTACATGATACAAAGCAAATGCATCACCACAAAGACCCCCGCCATGTTGTCCATTCAGAGCCACACCCTCTTCCCTCCTGCCTCCACCTCCACCTTAACTCCTGGTAGGGCTGATCTGTTCTCCACTTTACAACTTACCCTTCAGGAATGGAATCTCTTCAAATAAATGGAATCACAGAGGTAGCTTCTGGGGACTGGCTTTTTTACTTGCTGTAGTTCTCTGGAGACTCTGCAAGGTTGTGTATCTCAGGGCGTCGTCCTCTTTGTGGTTGTGTGGTGGCCCACAGTATGGAGGTAGCACACTTTAACCATTCACATGTTGGAGGACAGCTGGGTCTTTCCCAGGTTGGTGCTATTACACGTAAAGTTGCTGTCAACATTTGTGTTTTTTAGTTAAAAAAAAAATTTATTTATTTATTATTAGAGAGAGAGAGAGAGAGAGCAAACAAGGGAACGAGCATGGGGAGAGGCAGAGGGAGAGGGAGAAACAGACTCTCTGCTCAATCAGAGCCTAATGCATATGTTTAACTCACTGAGCCACCCAGGTGCCCCAACATTAATGTTTGTAGGTTTTTCTTCCTTTCTCTGAGATAAGTGTCCTGACATGCACTGCCAGGTCCTATGGTTGCGAGTTTAGTTTTTATGAGAGAACTCCAACGGGCTTCCTCAGCAGCTGCACTCTTAAGCTTCCACCAGGAATGTAAGCACGGCCTGGCTTGTTCTCACTGTGGCTGACATCTGCTGCAAAGAATTGTCACTATTTTTTTTTTTTTAATTTTTGCCATTCAGGTAAGTGTGTATCAACAGCTTGTGTGTGATTTTAATGCGAATTTCTCTAAAATCTAATGATGTCTCCCACCGTATACTGTGCTAGGTTTTGTACCTGTAGCAGCTGAAACCAAATTCCCAAACCTCTGCAAAGCCCCCACCCCCCCGGTGCAGCCTGGACCCCCTTCCCCAGAGTTCTCTTGAGACCCCTCCCTGAACCTGAACCTGGCACCTGCTGAGTGCAGGAGGCACGTGTCTGTAGAACCATCTCAAACACAGCTCTCGGCGGGCGGGCTCTTTGGATCCCCGTCTGGTCTCCCTCCACCAGGACCATGTGTCCAGCATCTCCTGGTCTTGATGTGAAATGCTGCCTGCTGGGCTCGTGAGGGGGCTGTGGCTCTGACGGCTACTGTGAGCTGCAGAGATCACTCCCCGGGACTGTGAGTCGCTAAACTCACATCTCCCACTGACTGCTCTGGGCCAGGGGCCAAGAGAGCGGGGGTGTATCTCTTCTCCTCCATTCCATTCTGCTCTCCCCTGCTCAGGTCTCGTCTGCTTCATTCTCATTCACTCTATCTAACCACGCGCTCAGCAGGCGTTGGTTATTCAGCACAGGTCGGCCCTGGGTCCTGGGTGAGCCTGTACTGGAGAGTGGGACACAACACTATCTTCGACCTGAGGAGCTTAGAATTCAGTCGGGAAGACCAAGTTACTAAAAACGTACGAAACTACAACTTGGGAAAAATGTGATGAGAGAGCAACAACAACAACAAAATTGTGTAGTGCGGACAACAGTCCCAGATGCTTCCAGGGAGAGATTCCCCCGTGTCATGACACTGAGGTCAGGGAGGTCATTCCTGGACAGAGGAGAGGAGTGTTTTAGGGCAAGTGAAGGCATCGAGAGCCAAGAGCATTGGGCCCTACAGGGAGGCCAGTGCTGCCCTCTGGGTGGGCTGAGGCCCAGGGTCCTGCACCAGGTAGAAGGGGCCCCGGGGTCAGGGCACGGCAGTTTTGAAGCCCATGGTAAGGGGTTGACTTGGATTCAACCAAAAAGTATTAACAAACTGTTGAAGGGATTTTGAGAGGAGGCGGTGTGATGAGTGCCAACTAACTTTTTTGGGGTTTTTGCTTTATTATGCTTTGTTTTATCTTGTTTTGTTTTAGTCGTGCTGGAAGAGAATCAGATGGTGGAGTCCACCAGTGAGGAACACAGAGGAAGGGGGTGGTTGGGAAAACCACCCGCGGGGGCCTGTTTCCCCAGTGCTCCCGGGCATTCTCTGTCGCTGTTTCAGCCACTTTCCCCCAAAACCACTGCGGAAGTCCTGCCTCCCCGTCCTCGGGGCACAATTAATCACACTGACTTATTCTGTTATTCAGTGAGAAGTGAGTTTGACATATACAAGGTATGCGGTTACGGGACGGCCCGCTGCCGGAGCAAGTGTAAAGCCGAGGAATTCCAAATCGGAGCGTGCCCCAGTGCCCATCCATGCTGTTTGAAAAAGCGGACCCTCTGAGTCCGTGGCGCCCTGAAGCCCAGTGCTGCCTGGTCCCCAGAGCCGCTGATGGAGGGACCGAGAAGCCTTCCCGTCCCGAGGTCTCACAGCTAGAAGCCGCCCAGCAGCAGCCACTAGCCCGATTACGGAGACTTTGCCGAGCGCCGTCGCTCAGTACAGAGCCCATGTAGGAGCCCCAAGAGGATGTTCTGTGATGGGGAGAAGGGAGGACAGCAATGTGGGTTACGTGAGAGTCTCGACACCTTCGCAGCCGAACTAAAAATATGTCTCACCGGCCACAAGCCTAAGGGAACATCTTTTTATTTTTTTGGCCTGAGTGGTTTCAATTAATCTTGATAGCATTAGTTTTCTGATCAGAAATTTTGCTCTGCAGTCATATATGTCTTTTGTTCATCAAAATAGGGCAATAAATCAATATTGAGTGCAATTCCTTTGGCATACACTATAATTCAAAGCACAGATTCCCTGGGAGCAAAACAAAAGAGATGCCATGCGACGACCCACGTGGCTGTCCGTAGAGGGTCATCTCCCGCAGACGGAGCACAGATCAGCTCTGTGCAGACTGACAGTCCTGAGATCAGGTGAAGAAAGCAGAGTCATAAAGCCTTGGACCTGCCATTCCTGTCCAAACTTTCTTTTGGGGTGACCCAATGATTTGTGGGGAAAAGCTTCTCTCTCTATAAAAGTAGCCCAGCTAATAAATGACAAAAAATGATAATGTAAGGAGAATATCACTATTTTCCAAACCCTCAGACATAATGATCGAGCCTATGAACGTCAACAGCCCCACTCAAATAAACAAGGACAACGCCCTGAGGTCATGACCTGCCTCCAGGTAGATGGACACAAAGTCACCCGGGAGCTGTTACGCTGCCGCCTTTTAACCCAAACGGTAAACTGGAACTTCACGTAACTGTCACCCAGCCTCAACGTATGGCTAGTCTCGTTTCACTCCTTGATGAACTCCCCCTCCTGGATTATTTCTGAGAAGACTCAACATGCCATGTCACCCCTCTGAAAATACTTCAGAATATATAATTCAGAGAAAATAACTCTTAAAAAGTATGCGCGCACACACACACACACACACACACACACATATTTGTGTATATATAAAACCATAGTGCTAGGACCATACTTAGAAAAAAATCAAAACAAACCCCTTACTATAATCAAATAGTCAATCAGTGTTCAAATGATCCTGGTTGTTTCATAAATGTTTTTTGCAAAACTGGTTTCTTAGACTCAGGATCCCGGAAGTCCACCCATGCGCTGTGTTTGATGGTCGGCGTCCGAGGCCTCTTCTGTGGGTGGCATCCTATACCTGTCGTCTCCCCCGTAAAGTACTGCATTGAAAATCCAGTGCAGATGTGAGCCTTTGATTTCAGCCGTGACCAGGGGAGGGGGGATCCTGGGAAGCAGCCCCCCGAGGAGGCAGCAGCCCAGATGCCAGGATACTGAATGTGTTTTAGGAAAACCTAACGTCGATTTTAAGTTGTCCTACGTTGGTGTTGCCCTTCGTGATTCTCACACTGCGTATTTTACCAGGTGCTTTCATGTGCCTAATCTGTTTTGATCCTCACAATATGCTTGTGAGACAAGAGGCATCACTCTGACCTTTTTTAGGTGTGGAAACAAAGGTGTGGAGAGCCGAGTGCCTTTCCCAGTAGCTCAGCATATTAGGCAGGACCTGACATCAACCCCATACCTCAAGTTCAA